TAGTCTGTCCAGAAGACCCCTTCCGCTTCTTACTTATTGGAGAAGTCTCCTTAACAATATTAGCTCCCACGATCGTTGAATTTCCACGAGATTTCTTCTCGGCTGTTTTGTTGTCTTCCTCAATCTTGAGACGAATCACATGATCTTCCAACTTCATTTCTTTGCGCTTGTGCTTAAGATAGTTCTTGAAATCTCTCCACGACAGAGGCAATCTTTTAATCATTGCAGCCACTTGAAATTCTTCATTCACGACTATATCTTAAGCAATAAGATCGTGAAAAATAAGTTAAAGCTCCTGAACTTGGGTTCCAACATTTTTGCTGTCTATCATTCTATAGTCTAGAAACTTGGCAACCACAAACTTCTTCAAGCATGCATCTTCAGTCTTGTACTTCTTCTCAAGTGCGTCCCATAATTCTTTCGAAGTATTTATAGCACTATAGACATTGTACAAGTCATCCTTCAAAGCACTTAGGATATAGCCTTTGCAAAGAAAATCTGCCTGTTTCCACACCTCAATAATCATAAATTTCTCGTTGTCCGAGCAGGCACTGGAGGTTCTTCGCAGGTGAATTTCTACATACCAAGTGTGGTAAGCCAAAGGAACACCCTTTGCTGTCATCCTTTGATGTTGGCTTCAGAAAATTTCCCCGGTTTCTCGGCCGGTGGAACAACAGTTCGGCTTGACGAGGCTATCGTCGTTGCCGTAACAGTCGGAGAAGAATTCCCGTTATCAATTGCCATTTCTCACTATCAAAAACAGAAGAGTTCAATTAATGGCAAAAAATAGAACAATAAACTGTAATTAACGATAAACAGTACGTTTAATAAATAAAAATCAAAGTTTTTATATACCGTTTCACAGAAAACGATGAAGTATTTATGTTCTTCAAATTATTTTTGAATTTCAATATTCTGATGAAGTTTTTATATCTTCAAATCAGAATAGAAAAATTCAGAAGAAGTAGAAAACCACACAGGTTTTATTCTCCACAAACAGAATACAGATTACGAATAAAAAAATTAATTTTCTTAAGATTGTTAGTAAATCTGTATTACTGTAATAAATAATAAAAACAGTCAACTTTCTGTAACAAGAAAACAAAAACAGAAAGTTAGCGGCAACAAAATATCGAAATAATTTATGGAAAAACAATTTCGAAATAAATCGAGCCCACTGAATGCACAGTGCGCCCTTAAGGAAATTATTCCCCTCAAGTACCCGAGGTGCTGGAAACTCTTTAAGAGCTAGAAGAAGAGCAATTGTATATATACCCATCAAAAGTCTTTTCTTCCTCCAATATGGGACAATGTCCCTCTGCTAAGAAGGAAAACTCAAATATTTTTTCCCTCCATCTCCCGTTCACCCTTTATTTCAAGCTACCAAAGCTTAAAACCAAAGCTTTAACCCTACAACTTTTGGGGTTGAGTTAGGCCCAAATATCATATCTCTACCTGCCATAACTCGAAAAAACAAATTAAGGGGAGGTATATCGTTGATTTTAACTTGCCTAAGATACGTGGAAATATTTGCTGAAGAAAGAGATAATATCTTAGAAAAGTGAACTCTATTTATAGGAAGAGAAAACTTTTATAAGTCACATGGTCTATCATCCATAAAGCTGTATGCTCACACTTGGTATATTTTTTTCTTTGCATAAATTAGGTGTTAAAGGTAAAAAGATACAGCCAATATTTTTCTGAGGTGCCACTGAATGACCAGAAAACTGGATTTGGATTTGTTTGGTCCTACAAAATACATTGGGCCGCTTTCTTCAGTAAGATCTTAGTTTTTTGAGTTTTTTACGTGCTTGATCCTTTTTTAACTATTATTTATAAAAATAGCACCATTTATTGTTTATTCCATAAAGAGCACTTTTTTTTTTCATTAATGGCACATTATAAAAATTAAGCTCAACATCTAATAAGTTAACTCACTCACTAATCACGGGAAGTACTTTTTTTTTGTCCATCTTCATTTTCCCTTTATAGCATTCATCTTCTTCACTCCATATTTTGAAAAGCTGCTGCATATCTCAATGCCACCTAAATCAAGATGTATTGATTTATACATCTTTTATACTCTGTATATCAGGTATCACTTTAATTCAAAATGTATATTTATGTATATGTTTTTTGTATATTTATTTGTGAAGTGCTATCTTATTTTAAGCGGTATTTTTAATGTATATTATATTTTATATGTCAAGTGTCATTATATATATATATATATTATTTTTTGTATATTTATATACCATCTTAATTAAATTTAAGATATATATTTTTATGTATATTTCACATGTCTAAGTGTCATCTTAATTGAAGATGTATTTTTTATGTATTTGTTTTGTATATTTTATATGTGTTAATTCAAAGTATATTTTTATATATATATATATATATATTGTATATATTAAAGTATATTATTATCGAAATAAGAGCTTTATATTAAGAAAGGAAGAAAGAAGTAAGAGAAAAACTTAAGAAAGATAACTAAAAATAAAATGAATGGAACAAATTTAAAAAATATATTGGCTTCGGTAGAAAACAAAACTAAGAAGATGAAGAAAAAGAAGGAAAGCTAATAGATAAAGAGAGAGAAAAAGACATGATTTTTGTACAAATAATTATTAACTTTCCATTCAAATTTCTTATGTTTAGGGATTAATAGTTAATATTTCTATTTTAATGGAACTGTGTGCTACAAATATAAATATTTTTCTGCCATATCTGTAATATTGAATTTAATGCTAAAAATTTGTAATATTTCTTTTAAACTGTGACAGTTATGTAAAGTCCCCTAGTTTTTTAGCGTACTTGTGTTTCCGGAGGCAGATGTATGTAAGTTTTCCTACGTGTATGTGGCCCAATAAGTTTAAGGCCTATAATTAATATTTAATTAATGATCAAATTTCGTCCGTCCGATCGGTTACTTGATGGATGTACCAGACTAAGTAAGAACCTCTATAAATTGGTCCTCTCCCCATCGTATTTTATTTTCTTTCATTAAAGATGGCGGTAACGAAACCTAGGGCAAGGGGCGAGAAACGAATTCCAACTAACGCTTCCGCTTCACGATGATGGCTTACGATTCAGGTATGTTTTCTGTAACGATTTTGTGTAAGATTATCATGTTCAAGATCTTGATATCCAATTAAAGTTTATGTTTACATGTGGTATCACGAGCCTGGATTCTTTGAACTAATAATCTTCATATGAAATCGATTCAGATTAATTATCGAGAATCACTCTTACGAGATTCGTATAAGATAATTCTTCTTGGTAAAGTTCGATGCATGGCAATAACAAAACTAATTGTTTAACCCATTGATCCATTGATTTATCAAGTTTTGCGGTGAATTTTGTGTAAACTTAAGCATTGCCGCTTTGGGCTTAAAGATCTGACCAATTAATATTCTTTCACTGTTTCCTTTTTTATTTCAACGTGTGTATTGAATTTGGTATTTTTTAATATAATAAAGTAGGGTTGTATGAAAAAGCCTAAGCTTTAAAAAGCGGCGCCGATAATGAATTAATGAACGAAGTCTATAGGATTATGTAATGCTTGTTTGTTATTTGACCATTAAAGTAATGAGGTTTCTTTGCTAAAAGTCCCTATGTGCAAACTTCGCACATAAATCTCACGTAATGTATAATTGTGTTATGATTCTTTTATTAGTTTTAAACAATAACTAATGTTTGTATTGGGAATCTAAACCTGTGGGATTAAATTACTCCACAATCTCACCAGTAAAGTAACGTGACTTTTGAAGTAGATATTCTGTCTCAACTTTTTTTTTGACTGGAAAAGATAATTTATTAAAAACATTACAGAGTACCAACAGTTACATCGGTAACAAAACTACAAGCCTCGAGGACATTCAAATTCCCCATTTCGGCCAGACTAAAACACACATTAGTACTAAAGTACTTAAGCAAATACACATAACCATTCTTGTCCATTGCTAAGTTATTTAAAGCGAAAGGCACAGGATTATCAAAAAGTTGGTGTTATCGTGCATGCTTGAGTCCTTCCTTCGCCATCCTGTGAGCTATCTTATTTCCCTCTCGAAAATTATGGATGATCTTCGGTTGCTTCAGCTGGTGCATTAACCACCTGCAATTAATAATAGTAGAGTTGCAAGGGACACAATTAGAATGTAATACTTTGATTACCTCCGTTGCATCCGTTTCCACTGCTAGTGGAAAATAACCATGGCTGAGAGCGATTGAAAGTCCTTCCTTTAATGCTTCCAATTCAGTTTGGAGGGGTGAACTTGAGGGATTGTAGTGCTGGAAACCCATTATCCAATCCCCCCGATAGTCTCTGAATACATCCCCCATGCCTCCTATATTTGTATTTTCTTGGAAGGCTCCGTCAATGTTTAGTTTAAATTTTTTTTTGAAGGCTTATGCCATGCGACCTGTCTCAACTTTCTAATCCCATAATGAATTGTTTTTGTTTTTTAAAAGTAATCTTAAACGTCAGTTATTGTTTATTTTATGTATGTGATTAATGTGTATATAGTTTGTTAGTCACCAAAGTGACCAAACTAGATTGTTTAAGGTATTCACATGCATAAAACCTTGTGTTCTCTATTTTGTGTATGCACTTATGTTATATAGTTTGTTAGTCACCAAAGTGGCCAAACTAGTTTGTTTATGAAAATAAGCATACATAAATTTATAGTTTATCCATAAAATTATTTAAAAATTAGTGGATAAATTATTTTTTACTATTGCTAGAACTTAAGGATTTACCCAAAGGTGAATCAATTATTTTATGAATAGTGAATATGATGAGGTAAATTAATATTCTTAGTCAAATATATATTGTCTGTCCAAAGATGGCATATATATTTGGTTAAAAATATTTAATTACCTATTAAAGACTAAATGACATTTAAATTATGATAGTGTGTCGTAGTATTTACCCAAAGGAGAATTGCGATATGCTTTAATTGTTTTGTTGAATCCATATTGATTTGTGAGCATGTATTATGTATTTTGCAGCTATTCCTTTTCATTCACATGCTTCGTCTGTTACTGTGTTCAACAGATTGAACTTCTATGAATGGCATGAACAAGTCCAGTTCCACTTAGGTATGATGGATCTTGACTTGGCTCTGCTGAATGATAAGCCCGCTGCCATTACTGATTCGAGCAGTGCGGATGAGAAGTCTTTCCATAAAGCATGGGAACACTCTAACATGCTAATCCTTATGTTTATACGAATGAATATTGCCAACAACATTAAGAGTACTATTCCACAAACAAAAAGTGCCAGGGAATACCTAAGGTTGTGAAAGAACGTTTTCGTTCTGCAGATAAGTCTCTCGCTGGTACACTAATGGCTGAACTCACGACCATGAATTTTGATGGGTCGCGTAGTATGCAAAACCATACTATCGAGATGACTACCATTGCAGCAAGACTTCAGACCTTGGGGATGAAAGTGGATGATTCCTTCTTGGTTCAGTTTATTCTGAACTCGTTGCCTCCTAAGTATGGACCTTTTCAAATTAACTATAACACTATTAAGGATAAGTGGAATGTTAGAGAATTTTCCAGTATGCCTACTCAGGAGGAGTCAAGACTTAAGAAATAAGTGAGTCATTCAATTAACCTCATGGGTCAAAGAGCTGGTAAAGGACTTAAAGTGAAGCCCAACAAGTTCAAGAAGAAGAAAGCACCTGCTAAAGCTCCACAGGATGCTAAGAAGGAACATAAGGCAGATACGTGTCGTTTCTGTAACAAGGAAAGACACTATCAGAAAGATTTCCTGAAATGTAAAGCTTGGTTCGAAAAGAAAGGTACAATTAGTGCTTTTGTATGTTTCGAATCAAATTTAATTGAAGTTCCTAATAATACTTGGTGCCTTGATTCTGGTGCAACTGCTCATGTATCTACTACGTTGCAGGGATTCCTTACGATCAAAACTACAAATCCAAATAAGATACTTGTTCATGGGAAATCATATGAAGGCTCCAATTGAAGGCATATGGACTTATTGTTTGATCATGGAGACTGGGCGTCACCTTGATCTATTACAAACTCTTTATGTACCTTCAGTTTCTAGGAATTTGATTTCTCTTTCAAGACTTGATGTTTTTGGATTTGATTTAATGCTTGGAAATGGATGTTTCAAATTATATAAGAATGCTATTTTTTATGGTTCTGGTTTTCTTAGTGATGGTTTATAAAAGTTGAAACTCGATATTGGTTTTTCTGAATCCCTTCTTGCTCTTCAACATAATGTTGGAACTAAACATAGTTCACTAGATGAAAGTTCTGCTTACTTGTTGTGAACACGTGATTTTTGCCTCGCTTAAATTACTCCTATAGAATTCATTAAAATTAGGATTTTTCTTTTATTATTTGAATTTTAGGAAATTAATTGCATGATTTTGTGATTGTGTGCATTTCTGTGCATTTTTAATTGATATAACTCATGAAGAATACAAAAATAGCATACTTGCATTTAGAACCTCATTCTAACATTTTTTTATTAGTTGATTAACATCACAAAAAATAAGAGAAAATAACAAAATAGTCCCTTTGCATTGTTTTACTTTTAATTTTGATTTTTCTTTAAGTTTTTTGGTTTAAACTAGGATTTGTCTAATTTTTGAGAATTAATTAGTTTTAATTTTAGAGTTAAATCAGCTCTTGTCTAGTTTTATTTTTGTATTTAATAAAATCCAAAAATTGAATAAAAACAAAAAGAAGAAAAGAAAACAAATAAAAAAAACTAAAAGAAATCCTAGTCTTAGTAAATACCCAATTTTGGGCCAGCCCAGACCCAATTTCGCCCAAAAAACCCGTCCAAAATAGCCCAACCCAAACCCCCGATCCGGTCCGTCCCTTTTATCTAACCAAACGACCCCGTTTCGATAAGATTCAATCCCAGCCGTCGAGGATCTCTGATCCAACGGCTGGGAACTGGTTTGAACTTAATATTTAAATGTCGGAGACCACCCCTACCCCCTCCCCCCCCAAAGTCGTCTCTCTCACCCCTCATTATCAGAAAATAACGCCGCCCTACTCCGCCGTAAGCCGCCGGCCGGAAATCTCCTCCGCCGGCGGCGATGCTCCAAACGACTCCAAAACTTCACCATTGATTCTTCTCGTCCTCATCTTTCCATATCTAACCTTAGATTCCCTCAAATCCCGGCCAAACGTTTCGAACGTTAGATCAAAGTTTTCCGGCCATGACACCACTTCGCCCAAATCAGTCCAAATTAAAACCATAAGACCGCCTGGCCATCCTCTATCAGATCCTCCAGGTCCCGTCCCTCGAACATGGCCAGAACTGCTCGAATATTGAATCAAAACTCGGCTAAAACCCCATCTCTTCCAAATCCGCCCAAATTAACACTCTACACTCTCCTCACCCTCCCCTACTCAAATCCCTAAATCATTTTTCCCAAATCCAACCGGCACTAATGGAATTACAAATCTAGGGTTTAAGGAAGTTTGAATTTCTTCTGGTTTCGGAAGTTTCGGCTTGGTTCGGTTGGTGTATTATATTTAGTAGAGGCTGAATCAGTAAGTTCCCTCGTCTTTGTTCAATTATTTTCCGTTTATAGTTGAATCCGGGTTCATGCTTTTGGTTTTTGTGGTTTAATCTTGTATTGATTCTATTATCTTCAAAGTTTGTTCATACTAGTATAGGTTTAAGCTTACTGATTAGTTTAGGATTAGTCTTGATTCCATTTTGATTCATGTTTTGTTCTTTTTCCTCGCTTAATTTTGTTCATGCTTTTACAATTCATTCTGTGTTGATTCATGATTAGTTCTTCTCATCTTGTTACGAGTTCAAGTAATTAATTAGGGTTGCTGTTGCATTTTTGAGTCAGTTCTATGTTCTGATGGTATTTGTTTGGATTGTCTGATTAGTTTAAATTTGGTTAGTTTAAGTTGTGATTAGTATTATAATTTCATACTGATGATATGGTCAAATTGATTAGTTGGTCTAATTGTTGATGGTAATTGGTATCTTGAACTTCAGTAGTTAGTTTTGACTTAAGATCTGAATTTGAACCTGGTTCTAGCTGATTAAGTTGCTGAATGGCTGGTTAACCATGGTTAGTCAATAAGGTTGGTGTTGAATTAGTAATTCCAGGCTAGTGAGAAGGGTAGTTTAGGGAAGTCCATTTAGTAACTGAATTTAGAAGTTACTAGAAGCACCTAGAAGGGGTTGAAA